CGTTTAGCCTTTACGCAGTGACACAGGTCCAGTTTTATGCAGTTCAATGGGAACCATAAATATCTATTTTCTTTAAGTAAAAAATTTTCATGTGATAGATGGAACTTCTTAATTATTGTAGCTGATTGCATTTATTTCCTTCTTAGAAGGTGGTAGTTGGTAAATGCTGTATTAAAAAGTGAATGCTTGCATGTACAAATCACTCGCTGTAGAGTCTTATCACTAACATGCAGATAAATCCCTGCATTGAACTGAAATACATTTGATATGGCTAATAGAGAATGCAATGAACCCTTTATGAATATGTGATAAAACACATAATGCAAACTAAATAATGTTATCTCTAGAGACAAATTAGCTTCTTCAGCAAATAGACGGGTTCCCATGCTGACTGATGATAGTATCTCTGTATCTTCCAGGTACTGGGTATGGTGGGTTAAGGATGTGCTTTCCTCTTGGCTGTGATAAAAGCTCTAAAGCAATGTCACCTGATTTCATGGGCTGCAAGACCCTCTGATATAGTTTGTGATTGTAAGAACCAAAAATTTAAAAATGAGTCTGAGAGGAGATGTGGTGCTTCCTGCAAAGTGTTATATCTTCAGTTTTTATGTCCATAAGCAAGTAATATTGCTAGGATCACTGGTCTAAAGTGCTCACCCAAGGGCCACTACCCTTCTTCTATTTCTGCAGTTTTGGGCCCCAAAAACATTGTGTATAACTGTACGGGTCACTGCTTGAATTTTCTAAGGGGAGAGGGGAGTTTAATTCCAAGAGTTTGTATTTCACTACAGCAAATTCAAAATAAAATGTGTAATTTGCTTAGCAAATTGGATTACTAAGTTGTGTAGCTATTGACTGATTTGGAAATCTGCACATTCCTTTCCTCTGGGTAGGCAACTTCAGATAATAAGATGAAAGGTGTTATAGAAGAAAAGCTGTATTAGAAGCAACGTTATTAAGCCACTTTTTGAGTAACTGAAAACAACTTAGCAGTATGTTTCTGTGCTTTTATGTATAGAAAAATTAAACTGAAGAAACCCTATGAATTAAGCTTGATTCGTTTACTTTCAGACTGAAGTTGTCCTAAACATACATGTTTTGTTGATAGTAGAAATTAATATTAACCTAATACTTGATATTAAACTCAGTATAAATACATCTTTTCCCCATGTTATCTGGCAGTATTTGCTCCAATTACTCAGTGAGTCTGCAAATACTGTTCAATAGCAAAAAGCTGTGTGCTTGCCCTTAATAGAGACTTCAAAAAAAAGTTGTTTAATAGAATGACAAAATTTGTAAACTTTTCTATTTTCCTTTCATGGTTATTTGAAAGAGGAAAATCTGTACTATCAACTGCTGGGATCTGCTCTATAGAGCTATAGAAAGATAAAGATATGTGTGCTTCAAAAGTGGGAGGATCTCTGTATACCTTGGAAGAAGCAACAACACCAGCATGCTGCTCTTTCTGCTCACAGTGAAGACTGTAGCCGTGTAAAATTTTAGATCGCAGACCCTTGGAGTTGAACATCTTGGGAACAATGCGAGTTCTTTCCTACTAAAAACAACTCAGAACATCAGCTGACCCATACCCATATTTTGGTGGTGTTTATCTCCTTGCAAGTGTTACAAAATCACTTTCCTGAGAAGATGTATGTGAAAAGCTGTTGAAAGTCTTCCACTGAGGAGCTTGTGTTTCTAACCTAGTAGATGAGAAGTCCTGAAATCCCTCAGACACTTCATAGACAAAAAAAAAAAAAAAAAGGTGGTTAACAGCAGTTGTCCCATCTTTGGTAAAAACTGGATGGAAAAGCAAAGATGGAAAACAGCCTTTCCAGACTCTAGGAAAGAGATGCTGACTGTCACATTTCTCTAGGTTTTTCTTCAGTGCAGGTGCCTGGCCTAAGTTTACACCTAAGTGGGTACAGTTCAGGCAGTTTTGTTGTTCAGTTATGGAACAAACTTCCAGTAGTTGTCTCCTGGAGAACAGCTTAAAAATTTTGCAGGTTGTAGGTGATTTGCACACAGGAATGATTCTCCAATACATCCAGTACCAGTATTGCTATTCTTGCAGTGATACTAATATAAGGATGAGGCATAGTCAATCATACCAGCAACCACCTACACATGCTCTAGAAATACACTGATGAAATTCAGTAGACCACTGACACATGGGTTTCTGAGTTGCTCATAGGTCAGAGTGGGCTTTTTTTTTTTATTGTTTTACAGACATTCCATTGGAAAAGATTATCCAAAAGTAGTTCTCTAAAACAGTCTCAGAATAACAGCTTCTGCAAGTCACTGCCCGAGAAAAATACAGCAGATCTTACCTGGAGAGAACATAATATTGTGTAAGCTAGGGAGAAAAACAACTACTGTCATTGTGCCAAACTTTCAAGTTTGTTCTTCTCTGATGAAGACAACGTAGAGAAATAGATATTAATCTTCCACCACAAATCCTGATCTTTTCAGGAATACAGAAAATACAGAATATTTTCGTTCTGCAATTCCCTATTGATGTTGACAGAAGGTCAGCAATGTGTTAACTTCTCAGCGCATCTTAAAACTTCAGAAGACACTGAGTTTTATAAAGCTCTCCAGGTACCCTGCTTCCCTTGAATTCAACAGTAGCTTTGTGATCTTGTAAAGCAACCACAGAGTTAATCCAGTGTTGAGAGCTTTTAAAACTCTTATCCTAGAAAACTAGCACTGATTAATACAAGAGGTTAAAGCCTTTAGATCACACCACCAAAACAGGGAAACTATTTCCAGTGCAGTGTTGCCCAGAGTACATGTGTTTATTGGAAAAGCTACCTGAATAGAAGCCAAAATAATCTCCTATAAGAACTGGCTTTAAACGAGCCAGTTATGAACAAAATAACAATTGACTGAAAAATCTTGAAGTAAGAAAGTGTACAATATTTAAAGTTGTTTGGTTTTATTATGAAATTCCTCAGTGTTTGAAGAGAGACCACTTGAAAAGATAGTTTCATTTTTGTCTCTGCTAATTCCAGCTCACAGTATTTTCAGATATTCATCTCTTCAACATTAATCCCAGTTGTTATTTTCCTTTTCTAAATGCAGCCTCTTTGTTCCATGCAACAATAGAAAAAAACCAAACCTTTAGCTGTTCCACATCATATACATCCATTATTTTTAATTACTGATGTGAAAAATGTAACAATATTGGTATTCAGGAGGCCAGGGTGCTCTTTGCTTCGTGTTTCTCATATCGACTCATCGTATGTGAGTCAGTGTGTGTAGGTGTTTGGGTCCCTCCCCCACCTCTGTAGTTTGATAGTAGTTATGTTTTAGTTTAGTAAAATTTTAAGGCCATTTTATCTCTCAAGAGTTCCTGCATGTGCAGCTTGTACTGTTGTTCCACAGGCTACCTGGGGCAGCCTCCAGTTTCCCTCCTCATTGTTTGTTTGCTGGTTCCAAGGGAGGAGTGTTATCTGTGAAATGAGTCTGAATGGGTCTTTTGTTCTTCCTTTTCCTTATGAAAATAATAGCAACATAACCCTTCAAATTGTTTGGGGTTTATTTTTTAACCTGACATACTTTTCAGATTAATGATAAAAGCAGTAGGTTTGTGTTTATTTTCACTGGTCTTTGTATGTCCCTAAGAACAGCAAACTTTGTTATAACAGCAGATTTGCTGTAGGGCTCGGTTCAGCTTCGTGTGTTGCACTAGTTTTGTACCACTACCAGCACAATTCATTTAAAAGTGTTACATACTTGGTTTTAATGCTGTGAAAAAAGGCTCTGTGCCATTACAATATTTGGGGCAGTTTAGAAAACAGGCAGCAACAGCATGCCTCCTGGTTAATACTCTGTCTTGGCTTTCTGGCTCTCACAGTGCCTTTGTATGTGTCTAGACAACAAATGCCAAGATAAAAAATTCCTTGTAAGTTAGATTAAGTTTTAAAGCTTGTGGAAGACACTAAGGGACTACCGTATTGCAAAAGGCTGAATTTTTACTAGTCCTTTTGCTGAAAAGGTTAAAGGATAGGAAGGATAGGACAAGATAACTTTTTTTTTGTCCTGCGTATTTTAATACGTACCAGTTCATACTGATAATGTGTAACTTTCTCTGAAGAGTTTTCAGTTTGTACTGTGACTCATATCATAAACATTCATCGGCAGTTCATTCCAGAAAAAGGATAATCCCTTCTGTTGAGGGGCAGTACGGAAAGAAGTACTGAAGAGAGTGAGCATTTAAGAGCGGTGAACATAGAGGAGAAACGCAGTTCTCTTGAAAACTTGAAGAAGCTACTACATTTGTGTGCCAGAGAAGAAACAGAGAAATGGATCAGTCGATTTGGATGGTACAGCTTAGTGGTACCATTTGGATGGTAAAGGCTTATAAGATATTGAGCCTTGCTGGGACTTTTAATACTAAGGTTTAAATGATAAAGTATGTTGTCATGTGAAACACGGTTAGTGCTCTGTGTGGAGAAGGGTCAGAGGTGGATAGATCAGGGCAGCATACAATAACTGTAGTAATAGTGTTTGGGGTACACTTGTAAATGAAATACTATTTAATAATTATAATATGGGAAAAAAGGTGAATTCATACAGATGTGTCCTGTGGTGTCAAGCGTTTCTTCTCTAGGGAAATAACGTAACTTCTAAAGCAAATTAAACTATATTAACATTAGTTTTGTGAAGAAGCTGTGTGCGCTTGTGAATGGTTTCGTTGGTTTAGTAGAAGAGCTTCCTGAAATGATGTGTGATCATAAGGCTTAAAAAATAATACGTAGTTATGTCCACTGCTTCCTTATATTCCCCAAGTATTATGTTGTCCTATGGTACTTGCTTAGAATTTGCTAATAATATGGTTTGAGTGAGAAAACAGTAACTTATCCCGTTATCCAAAATGCAACTAGATGGAAACTAGTAGATAATAGCTCAGCTCTAGAACATTATAAATTAAAATAATTGTAATTAATATGAAGCATAAGTATATTTGGATGTTCTAATAGTTTCTTTTGATATTGCAGGAAACAGCATACTCCATTCAGCAGCAGACAGTGTGACAAGTGCAGTACAGAAGGCAAGTCAGGCTTTGAATGAGCGTGGTGAAAGGCTAGGTCGAGCAGAAGAAAAGACAGAGGAGCTGAAAAACAGTGCTCAGCAGTTTGCAGAAACTGCACACAAGGTAAGATTTTCACAGGATAAGGCACTCAGTAGCTTGAAGACACACGTTCCTTTATTTTGAGAGGAGGAAGCTCTAGAAAGAGCTGCAGTCAGTCTCTGTTTACAAACAGCTTGCTGTTTTCCTTGATACTGTTCCTCACTTGGCAGATTTCTGGTTTATAACTTTTTCTGTGCATAGATCTGAGGTTTGTTGCATTCCCACTTGAATTGAAACTACCAATCTTCACCTTCTTGAAGCATATTTCAAATCCATCTTCCCACTACTGTTTGGTACTATTCCTCCTACTTTGTGCAGCAGTATAGTGGAATTGTTAATGTCCTTTGATAAGCAGTCATAGGTCTCTGACTGTCTGTTCGTGAATATGTATCTTTTTATGTCTGGAAATGTTATTTATGAGGATTTCAAGGTACTGTACTGTCTCAGATACGTATGGCCATTCCCTGTTCCTGCTGGAAGGTATTGATAGTACTATGCCTGTTACTTCTTGCATGTGCATAATGGTGCTGAGCTTCCATCTCTGTGACAGAAATTCTAGGCATCCGCAGCATTTGATTTGGTGGCTGTGTAACACATCCACAGCAGACAGAATGCTTTTCAAAAAAAACCCATAAAAGTTTTCTAATCTTGATCAAGCATTTTAGCATGCAATTTTGATAGTTTTGCTGCTTAGTACATGAGCTAGGCTTTATCCTGCTTATGCCAAAAATTGCCCGGCTACTGCACTAACGCTGGAAATCCTGGTTTGATATCTTGCAGTTCTATACAAGCCTCTGTTATATGTAGTCATTAAAATGTCACAAAATCACTCTTTTTAATATTTACTGGGATAATCCTCTACTTTGTGGTCCGTTTAGGTTAGCATGGTTCATGGTTCAGCTTAATGGCCTCAGGATGGTATGAGCCTTGGACTCTTCCATCTTGAACTCTTCTGTCTAACACCACTTTTTCCCCTGCCAGTGATGATAACTATGCCAACTTAGAAAACCAATCTTAAGCAGCAGCTACCACTGCTTCTAGGATAGGGGGCAAAAGGTTTGCTGCTTCAGAGTAAAGCACAGACTGCTACTTGGTAGGGAATTAAAAATGCCTCTCGTAGCTGGGCCGGTATGAATCTTCATTAAGATTTGAACACATTTCACTAGTGTGTGTTGCCCTTTCATCTTCCACATGTGCAAAACAGCAGTTCCACAGACGAAGACATGATCTGAACAGAAACATATCTTTTCAACAGGTTCTACTAGGAAAATTTTATTTTAAACATCTCAGGATTGAAGGAAGCAGTATTGTAATAAAAATATCATCTTTTATAGCTTTACCATATTTAGAAATAAAAATTTACAAAATCCTGATGTAATAATTCAAAACAAAAATTGGAGGGAAACATAGAAGAAATGGTAGCGAAGCTAAAAAATCCATAATGCAAGTGTTTTATTTTTTTAGTCAAATAAGAAATATGGGAATATTCACAGTCAGGAATTTGTACATAGTCATTTGAGTTCACATGTCTCTGTGGCAGTAAGTGAGAAGTTTCTGCAGGAAATGTCTTAAGTGATGCAATTAATGACTGTGTGCTGGGCTGAGATTTATGAAATGTTCCAGCCAGTCCAGTTCTACAGATAACCAGTCTTCCTCAGATGAGTGTGAGGCCATGTGTTGTTGAAGCTATCCCAATTACCAGCTGCTTGAAACGGGAGTGTGACAGTCTTTCAGTGGATGAGAGTTAAGGATTTGGAATAAATGCTTAGCTTTTGTCTTTTTAACAAGAAAATAACATCTTTGTGTTTGAGGAAAACATAATATAGTTTAGTTCTTAGAGGACTGCAAATTAATACTTGTCATCTTAATGATGGTAAGGCTAACTTAGTAAAATGGGATTTACATTTTCTTTCTTGAATTTTTTTCTGTATTGGTCCCCCAAACCTTGAATTGTATCTTAGAGGTGCCGTAGGCCTGCAATTCCTCTACTGTTATCCCACAAAAACGCATAGGGCAGCCACCCAGGAATGTATTAGGTTAGGGAGATTGTTGTTTTATGGTGGTGTGCTTTGGTTTGCAAGAGAGTTTTGTTGGGGTGTTAGTGGAGCATTTAGGAATAAGTACAGTATTGTTTCTTGTTGATGTTCCTCTTTGAGGGGCAGCTGCTACTCAGACCTTAGGTGTTTGTACAGAAAACATACTACTCCAGTGAAACCAGGAAAGCAAGGTCCAGCTGAATGTTGCTTAAATGGCAAAATTGTGATTTTCTGGCAAAACAATGACAGTGAAGAGAAAGGCACCAATTTTAACTTCCTAGTATTTGTGAACACTTTGTGCAGCAAAGCAGAGTTCCCATTTTGGTTGCTTTATAGTTGAATTCAGTAAATCAGTAAAAGTACTTTGAATTATTGTCAGCCCATAATTAATTTCACCACCATAGTATCATGACTGGATACAGATTTCTCCTACAGCTTAATTTGTATGTCTGGACATTACTTGGGCAACAAACAGGAGCTGGAAGCCATTATCCAGCTGGAAAACTGTCATATAGTTGCAATCACAGAAATGTGGTGGGATGACTCGTACAACTGGAGTGCTGCAATGGATGGCCATAAACTCTTCAGAAGGGATAGGTGAGGAAGGAGAGTCTGTGGGGTAGCTCTATATGCTAGGGAATGTTTTGACTGTCTAGAGCTTGATGATGGTTGAGTTGTCTATGGTTAGGAATCAGGGGAAAGGCCAACAATGCAGATACCATGGTGGGAGTCTGTTATAGACCACCCAACCAGGATGAAGAGGCAGATGAAATATTCTATAAGCAACTGGGAGAAGTCTCACGGTCACTAGCCCTTGTTCTAGCGAAAGTGCCCTGCTGGACCTGTTGTTCATGAACACAGAAGGACTTGTGAGTGATGTGACAGTTGGAGGCTGTCTTGGGCACAGAAAATGATAAGAGTTTTTGATTCTCAGAGAAGTAAGGAGGGGGGTCAGTGGAACTGCTGCCTTGGACTTCTAGAGGGCAGTCCTGTTTAGGAAACTGGTTGATGGAGTCCCTTGGGAGGCAGTCCTGAAGGGTAAAGGAGTCCAGGAAGGCTGGATAGTCTTCAAGAAGGAAATCTTAAAGGTGCAAGAGCAGGTTGTTCCCACGTGCTGGAAGATAAGCCAGCAGGAGGAGACCAGCCTGGCTGAACAGAGAGCATTGGCTGGAACTCGGGAACAAAAGGAGGGGTTTTGACCTTTGAAAGAAAGGGCAAGGAACTCAGGAGGACTACAAGGACGTTGTGAGGTTATGCAGGGAGAAAATTATAAGGGCCAAAGCCCAACTAGAACTTAACCTGGCTACTGTGGTAAAAGACAATAAAAATGTTTCTGTACATCTTCCACATGTGCAAAACAGCAGTTCCACAGACGAAGACATGATCTGAACAGAAACATATCTTTTCAACAGGTTCTACTAGGAAAATTTTATTTTAAACATCTCAGGATTGAAGGAAGCAGTATTGTAATAAAAATATCATCTTTTATAGCTTTACCATATTTAGAAATAAAAATTTACAAAATCCTGATGTAATAATTCAAAACAAAAATTGGAGGGAAACATAGAAGAAATGGTAGCGAAGCTAAAAAATCCATAATGCAAGTGTTTTATTTTTTTAGTCAAATAAGAAATATGGGAATATTCACAGTCAGGAATTTGTACATAGTCATTTGAGTTCACATGTCTCTGTGGCAGTAAGTGAGAAGTTTCTGCAGGAAATGTCTTAAGTGATGCAATTAATGACTGTGTGCTGGGCTGAGATTTATGAAATGTTCCAGCCAGTCCAGTTCTACAGATAACCAGTCTTCCTCAGATGAGTGTGAGGCCATGTGTTGTTGAAGCTATCCCAATTACCAGCTGCTTGAAACGGGAGTGTGACAGTCTTTCAGTGGATGAGAGTTAAGGATTTGGAATAAATGCTTAGCTTTTGTCTTTTTAACAAGAAAATAACATCTTTGTGTTTGAGGAAAACATAATATAGTTTAGTTCTTAGAGGACTGCAAATTAATACTTGTCATCTTAATGATGGTAAGGCTAACTTAGTAAAATGGGATTTACATTTTCTTTCTTGAATTTTTTTCTGTATTGGTCCCCCAAACCTTGAATTGTATCTTAGAGGTGCCGTAGGCCTGCAATTCCTCTACTGTTATCCCACAAAAACGCATAGGGCAGCCACCCAGGAATGTATTAGGTTAGGGAGATTGTTGTTTTATGGTGGTGTGCTTTGGTTTGCAAGAGAGTTTTGTTGGGGTGTTAGTGGAGCATTTAGGAATAAGTACAGTATTGTTTCTTGTTGATGTTCCTCTTTGAGGGGCAGCTGCTACTCAGACCTTAGGTGTTTGTACAGAAAACATACTACTCCAGTGAAACCAGGAAAGCAAGGTCCAGCTGAATGTTGCTTAAATGGCAAAATTGTGATTTTCTGGCAAAACAATGACAGTGAAGAGAAAGGCACCAATTTTAACTTCCTAGTATTTGTGAACACTTTGTGCAGCAAAGCAGAGTTCCCATTTTGGTTGCTTTATAGTTGAATTCAGTAAATCAGTAAAAGTACTTTGAATTATTGTCAGCCCATAATTAATTTCACCACCATAGTATCATGACTGGATACAGATTTCTCCTACAGCTTAATTTGTATGTCTGGACATTACTTGGGCAACAAACAGGAGTTGGAAGCCATTATCCAGCTGGAAAACTGTCATATAGTTGCAATCACAGAAATGTGGTGGGATGACTCGTACAACTGGAGTGCTGCAATGGATGGCCATAAACTCTTCAGAAGGGATAGGTGAGGAAGGAGAGTCTGTGGGGTAGCTCTATATGCTAGGGAATGTTTTGACTGTCTAGAGCTTGATGATGGTTGAGTTGTCTATGGTTAGGAATCAGGGGAAAGGCCAACAATGCAGATACCATGGTGGGAGTCTGTTATAGACCACCCAACCAGGATGAAGAGGCAGATGAAATATTCTATAAGCAACTGGGAGAAGTCTCACGGTCACTAGCCCTTGTTCTAGCGAAAGTGCCCTGCTGGACCTGTTGTTCATGAACACAGAAGGACTTGTGAGTGATGTGACAGTTGGAGGCTGTCTTGGGCACAGAAAATGATAAGAGTTTTTGATTCTCAGAGAAGTAAGGAGGGGGGTCAGTGGAACTGCTGCCTTGGACTTCTAGAGGGCAGTCCTGTTTAGGAAACTGGTTGATGGAGTCCCTTGGGAGGCAGTCCTGAAGGGTAAAGGAGTCCAGGAAGGCTGGATAGTCTTCAAGAAGGAAATCTTAAAGGTGCAAGAGCAGGTTGTTCCCACGTGCTGGAAGATAAGCCAGCAGGAGGAGACCAGCCTGGCTGAACAGAGAGCATTGGCTGGAACTCGGGAACAAAAGGAGGGGTTTTGACCTTTGAAAGAAGGGGCAAGGAACTCAGGAGGACTACAAGGACGTTGTGAGGTTATGCAGGGAGAAAATTATAAGGGCCAAAGCCCAACTAGAACTTAACCTGGCTACTGTGGTAAAAGACAATAAAAATGTTTCTGTAAATACATTAGCAACAAAAGGAGGGCTAAGGAGAAGGTCCATCCTTTATTGGATGTGGGAGGAAACATAGTGCCTTCTTGCCTCAGTCTTTAATAGTAAGACCAGTTGTTCTCGGGGTACCCAGACCCCTGAGCTTGAAGGCAGGGACAGGGAGCAGAATGAAGCCCCCCCTAATACAAGGGGGAATGGTTAGTGACCTGCTACACCACATAGATACACACAAATCTATGGGGCTGGATGGGTTCCACACAAGGGTACTGAGGGAGCTGGTGGAACCATCATTTATCAAGAGTCCTGGCTAACCAGGGAGGTCCCAGTTGACTGGAGGTTAGCAAATGCAGCACCCATCTACAAGAAGGACCAGAAGGAGGATCTGGGGAATTACAGGCCTGTCAGTCTGACCTCGGTGCTGGGGAAGGTTATGGAGCAGATGATCTTGAGTTCCATCACATGGCATGTACAGGACAACCAGGTGATCAGGCCCAGTCAGCATGGGTTTATGGAAGGCAGGTCCTGCTTGACTAACTTGATCTACTTCTATGACAAGGTGACCTACTTAGTGGATGAGGGAAAGGCTGTGGATATTTACTGCCTAGATTGTAGTAGAGCCTTTGACACTGTTTCCCACAGCATTGTTCTGGAGAAACTGGCTGCTTATGTCCTGGACAGGTGTACTCTTTGCTGGGTAAAAAAGCTGGCTGGACGGCTGGGCCCCAAGAGTTGTGGTGAATGGAGTTAAATCCAGTTGGAGGCCAGTCACAACTGGTGTTCCCCGGGGCTCAGTGTTGGGGCCAGTTCTGTTTAATCTCCTTATCAGTGATCTGGATGAGGGTATCGAGTGCACCCTCAGTAAGTTTGCAGATGGCACCAAGTTGGGTGGGAGTGTTGATCTGCTGGAGGGTAGGAAGGATCTACAGAGGGATCTGGACAGGCTGGGTCAATGGGCTGAGGCCAATTGTGTGAGACTTAACAAGGCCAAATGCCAGGTCCTGCCTCAAGTTGTGCCAGGGGAAGTTTAGATTAGATATTGGGAAAAATTTCTTCATCAGAGAGGCTGTCAAGCATTGGAACAGGCTGCCCAGGGTAGTGGTTGAGTCCCCATCCCTGGCTGTATTTGCAAGACATGCAGATGTGGTGCTTAGGGCCATGGTTTAGTGGTGGACATGTCAGTGTCAGGTTACGGTTGGACTTGATGATCTTAGCCCAAGCTAAACCATTCTATGATTCTACTCCAGCTATATGTCAGGTTATTATAAGATACAAAACACATAATGGAGACAGTGTAAGATGCATGGCATAGGAATACTCTTTCTAGCATCTTTAAAAAGCACCTTAGTCACCTGTAAAAAAAAAAAAAAAAAAAAAAAAAAAAAAGAACCAAAACCACTTAGTTTGTACCAGAAACAATAGCACTCACAGAGTGCTTCTGGTTTGGCTATCAGAGTTTGTTGAATGAAAGCATGTATCTATATTTAGTTGTGTAAAGGCTGGAACTTGGCTCAGGATATCTATCAAATCCTCCTCATGACACCTTCTTCACCTTGCTTGCCTCTGAAAAATTCCTTGCCCTTGTTGGTGACTGCACAGGAGCTCAGAGTATCATAATAACTTGTCAGAGTTGCCTGCTAAAGACATATTTTTCTGAAAAAAAATCTTGTTGCTTAAGGGCAGAAGGAAATTGGAATTCTTTCACGCTGAAATGCCTTTCCAGCATATCTCTACAAATCATAATTTTTTAAAATGGCATATTAATGACCAGGTCCTTGAGTATCAAAACGCTTATATCAATTAAATTTGAGTCATTTATTGGTAAGCATTTTACTGGTAGCAAATGAGGAAGTTGTTATTGCCCCTACTAGTTCTGGTTTCTAGGTAACTTCCTAGAGGGTTCACTCATCTCAGCTTTGTTAGCATGCTGTTATCTACAGATATCAATTTTTTTTATTATATGGGGCCTAAAACTAAGTTCTCTGCTTGTTTTGCCAAAGTCTGTTTGTCTACACTTTTTACACAGAATTTAATTCACTTTAGCTCTTTCTTCTCCCTCTCATTCCCAGTTTCAAGTCCATTTCTGAATTATTTGAAATGGAAATAATCAGTAATCACAGAGGTAGAAAGGCAATCAATCAGTCCTTAATTTTTCATCATTATATAGTGGCAGAGCTGCCACGCAGGTGTTTTAAATTACTTGTCTAGAATGTCTGATTGTATTTAACAATCCAAATCATTAGGGCTAAATGGTGGTTCTTTCAAGCATGTCTTTGTTTCTAGTGTCCTGCTCTAGTCCCTCTCCCAGATAGCGAAATAATGGAACATCGGGGAACACAGCTATGAAAGCAGATAAATCCTGCCTCCTCGGCATAGCAAAGGGAGACTCTGCCTCTCTGTCACAGTGAGGGGAACGACTGCGCATCTGTGTGCAAAGAAGTTAGGGATTTCAGGCATCTTTTGGGGAATTCAGTTTACAAACTCTTCTGATCCAGAGGAGCCGCATTAGCTTGATAGGAGCTATCATTACACGTGATCGCTCTTTAATTATTTTTTTTCTTTTTCAGCTTGCCATGAAGCACAAATGCTGAGATACTGCCCAAAGTTGAAATCTTCCCGAGAGAAGCTGGAAAGGCTACATTCAGCAACTTTCACAGGAGATCCAGACTTCTGTGTGCTTTTTTTCTTCCAGTTCAGTGGAAATGCATTCGTTCAGTTTCTGTGCAGGAAAACAGTGTTGCATTTCTACCTTTTTGACTTACTTTTGTTCCTCTTTTGTAATATTGCTACACAGTCCTGCAGTACTTTCTACCTGTATTTCAGTTGTTACAGGAGTGAAAGCAAACAGGGGAACTGGACCAAATGAAAAGCTGATCAGGATTAAAATAGTAATATTCTTGCCCAGTTGTACAGAAAATTATTTAACTGGTTGTGGACATACATGTCGAAATAAAATCCAAAGAAGGGGTATATTTTTCTTCATTTTATGTAGCATCAAAAGAATGTGAATGTTGGAAATAAACACCTGGGGTTGTGACTATAGTGAATAGACTGCTTAGCCCTGGAAAACAGAAAAACTTGTTTCTTCTGCCCAATGTAAGAAGTTTTGCATGTGCCATCACCAGCATTCAGAAGTGCATACCTGAATTTCATAGGGGAATCTGTTACCAGTGCTGCATTTTGAATATTCCTATTTTCTCTTCTGGGTTGACTATTTGAATAGTATAATGAAACCTACAGAATGTATATTTGAGGTTTCAAAATTGAGGAAAAAAAGTAATTTTTACATCTACACATACATAGCTGTGCCTCAAACACAGTTTAGAATTTAGTGATCTAGTATAAAATAACATTTCATTTTCCTTTTACCTGTGATTCTGTGGCTAAAGGCCTATGTAAATGAGAATGCACTATTTTCCAAGGCATCTGTTTTTCATAAATTCTACAGTAAGAATTTTTGGGAACACTTCAAAAATGTGTCTGATTAAAAATTTGTCTGACTTTTGTGTTAGCTAGTTGTCTGATTTTTAAAATAGAGGCTTTCAAAAAGCATGTCTTGGTACATTAGAATCATAACTTGTAGTTTGGGTCTCAGTTTTCAATATTCTTACTGGAAGGGTGACTCCTTACTTCATTCTATGTTCACTATATATGATATACGCACTCCATTCTCCTACAAAAATAAGTAGGTTACTCTTTTACTTCAGCTGTTTTCTTAACATTTTTTTAAGATGTTCTAATACGCTTCTCGAATGAAGAAAAAAAAAAAAAGGAAAAAAAAAAAAGCTAGAAACAGAAATCCTAGCAGAAGTTTCAGCCTTCATCTTCTGAAGATGCCTGCTCTTCATTTTTGTCCTCATCTTACCGAAGAGCCCGAAAGCTGACATTATATGAATGTACTGTAGTTTTAATTTTCAATGTAGAATAAGATTTTTGCATTATTAATGACACTTTAAACAGTCTAAAGTCCTCAGAGCAGTACTTGTAAGAGAGATAAAAGCTTCTGTAATTGAGAATATTTTAGTTACTACAAGCTGAAGTAACTGAAAACCTCTTGGAAATTCCCATTTTGTAAAAAGATGCTTGGCCTTAGAAAAACAGTTAACTGATTGCATTAAAATTTTACATTTTTTTTTTTAATTTAAACTGGATTGTATGAAGCTTTTAATTTTATTTCACACTGGGAATTGGGAGAAGGGGTAAATTTGTCATCTGTATAGTACCATACAATCATTTAGATCTATTTAGCATCAGCTCCAACAGTCCCTACATCCAGCACTGTCAACTGAAAAGGAATTTGGCCACATCTGTTATAAATCAGAACAGGCTCATTAACAACATGAGTTCTGAACACTCTGTTGAGCTATATACAATTAATGTTTGTCCTGGAAATGTCAGTAGCTTTCCGAGCACTATTGTAATGACTATGGGTATCTCTGCAAATTAACCAGGAAAACAGTCCCTCATTAGAAATGAAACTTCTGCTAGAGACAAAATGTTAGGCTATTTTTTAAAAATAGCTGCATTAGAAATCAGTCAGGGAGTACATTTTTGACCGCATAGCTGTCTTCTGTCATCATCTTTTCCCCTCTTACTTTTTTAAACTGTATTCTGCTGCTAACCTCACAAGTCTTTCTTTTGAAAGAAGGAATAGGTTTTGAACTGCTGCCATCTAGCTGGTCTTCTAAGCTTGTCAATAATTTAGAAGAAATGTCTGAAACCCAGATCAGATATACCTGAAAAGAATTAGTTCTCTGAATTCAGATGAAAAGGCATAGGTTTTCAGGTGTTTACATGAATATCAGCTGGACGGGACGAGGTCACAGTTGCACTGCTAAGTTCCAGACCTTTTGTGAGTTGAACTGTTCTAAAACAGTACTTTAGTCCCGCTGACAGTTTTTCAGCTTTTTTTTTTAATATCCTCCAGTTAAGTTTATTGTGTTATGTATCATAACTCAGGACTTTCATCCAACCACCAGAAGTCTTTTACTATGGAATTCTAAGTAACCTAGTGTTATTGAATCAAGGAAAAGCAGTTTGTCTGCGTGTTTACTTTGTTCTTGCTGTTCATTAAACTACAAGATTTAGTAGTTTTTAGAGAAAAATCAGAGATGTATAAATGTCTATCCAAAGGTAAATCTTAGAGCATTGCAATTTCCTTCTGGAACTTAGCTTGTAGTGTATACAACCTAGTATTATTAGATAGTCATGTACATAACGTATACTATAATTCAGGTTAATGTTTCATATGAAAGAATGTATTTGTAAATTGTAACAACATCAATAGTTTCTTTATCTTTTTAAAGTTCTGCAAAGAATAAAAATAATGTATTGTTAGACTTGACTACTGTACTGTAAACTTTGTCTTAAAAGGCTACTTTTGTGTCTAGCAAAAGTTGTGCATTATGTGAAATATTAACAAAAATGTGCTCTCTCAAAGTGATCTTAAAGGTAGGTAGGTTTTGCTATGATATGCCAGAATTGTAATACTTGCTGGTATCTATTGTAACCAATTCCTTGAAAGTTCTCAAAGATGTAGAAATTATTTTGTGCCATTCAGGGGATAAAAGTGGGACCTGCTCTCTTGAGTCATTACTGGAAACCCTGGTTTTGTCATTAAATACTTTAACTGTGATGAAAAAAAAACCTGTCCTTGCATTATTTGAGTTGTCTATTCAAAATATAAATTACTTGTAAATGACACTTTTATATTTCATTCTAGCTGAACTGTATTTCATTCTAGCAAAACTGATTAAAATTAGTTTCTACTGTAATGATGAAAACTTTCTCTAGAAAGAAAACTGTAATCAAAAAAGAAGTAATGGGAACTAGGTTGAAGGATTTCATGTCCAAGCAGATTCCAGACAACAGTTAACAAAGGTTTGAGTTAGCATCCTACCTAAAGGCTGTGCAGGTTAAAATTTGTTAATTGTACAGGTGTTAATTTGCTTTCAATTTGCTGTGAAATGCTTATTCTCAAATTGTTAGTATTTTCTTTTGGCCATCTAATTTTATTGATAATTTTTTATCAAAGCAAAAGCAGTTTTAATTTCCCTCTGGGAATAAAACTATAAAGGTAGAATTCTTCTACATACAGAGAAGCAATCCCAAATATTCAAATGAGGGCTACTTACAGAAGAATTATATCAAATATGAACTGATTTTGCTGCCATCTCTTTTCTTTTTTTTCAGGCTTAAATGTAGTCCCTGAGACCCTAATCTCAAAAATGTCCCGTTGGCAAATATTGTTGACTGGTTTATTTAAGTACTGGGTAAATTTTGCTGGAATGCGTGTCATCCATCCACTGTTGAATGCCATGCATGCCCAATGCCCAAACTGTATGCAACTTTTAATGAAAGAAATAGATCTCTGGTGGATCAGAAGCAAATGATCAGAACAGCATTTTGTTGTAGTTTACACACAACAATTTGGCAGTGCTTTTCCATCATTATTGTACATCTATCCTGTAAGAGTAGAAAAAGAATATGTTGGGTTCATTTTCTGAGCATTTTTTTAGATCAGTTTCACCATGTTGGCCTGCTTTTCTTGATCTTATGATTTTCATCAATCGTCAGCCTAGTCTGCTGCTGAGTATAATTTATGATGAAGGTGATGGGGGTTTGTTTGTTATCTTTGAGTCATGGAAGAGGCTCAAGCATGAATGTTCACTGATTCAATACATTAGGATTTCTAAGTAAAAGATATGCTAGTATGTTGAGTGTGTCGGAGAATATTGGTGCTGCCGCACTCCTGAAGGCATAATATTTGACTGAGAAAATCAAACTAAAATGCCCGTCACCTTCAGCTGCAAGTCGCAATATCAGTGATGATTTGCACTACTTCAACTACTGAGCAGATCAGTAGATCTGTCCAGTACTTGCTAAGGATTGCAATGTCTCAGATTAAAAATGGCTTTAATTTTTTTCAAAATTAGTCCCTCATGGAAGTGGCCAGCTACCAGTGCGGTAATAACATGAACTTATATAAATTACTAGTTTTTTCCAATAATTCTGAAACCTCAGCATCCACTTCACAGCAGATCATTTCAGCTTGTTTTGTGCATCATCTGGAAGCACTGTATGGTATTTAATTATAGGGGGTTTTATTTTTTGAGTTGTTACTGCCTTTTTGTCTGCTGTCACCTGATGCAATCTGAATTGTGGTAACATTTTTTAATAATTAATGTGATGGTGGCTAGCTTGGGCAGGGGTTGATTACAGGCACGAAAAGTGTTTATTCTGTTTATTCTCACAGTGGCTGAGCAACCCTAAACTGAGTGTAAACACAGTTATGTGGCAGCACAGTAGAATGGCAGATCTTCAGTGTTAATGCCGAGTATTCAGGGTATAAAAGTAAGCTTGTTAGCTAGGGAAGCTGGATGCTTTAGAAGTGTAGAGAATAGGCATGTGACAAAATTCTAATTGATACTTTAAACAATTTCACAGGTCTCTGGTAGCTAAAATGGTGATTGCTTTTGCGGAGGAACTGAAGTTCAAGCCTGTATTGTGTTGAAATTCCGTAGCTGCTAAAGGTGGGAGGACAAAGAGTTTTCTTCTAAGTGGTCTCTTCTGGGTAGAACAGAAAGGAAAATGACAAAAATAAACTAGAAAACTTTGATAGTGTTTCATACTATATCAAAAAGGACATCTTGAACTCATGCAACTAATATTAAACAACATGCTGGTTTGCAGCCAAGTCAGAGAGTCAGGGGCTTTTCCTATTTCAGAAAGAAGAGACACAGTAAAGCTTTCTTTGCATCAGCATGATCAGAAAATGAGGATGTCTCTAAAAAGTGCATTTACTTGTGGGAAGTACTAAGATTTTAATGAGAATCCTTCTTTCCAAAACCTTTACCAGTTTTATTAAATATAGCATCTAGAAACATTTATGACCGCTGTGAGATCCTTAACATTGTAGGTATGGTTGGCACTCTGAAAGAAGGCATTTAGCTTTAATACTAGATTGCTGCATTCATTTGTTTGAGGCTTGGAAGAGTTTAGCCCAGTGGGAAGCACCCCAATATTGCTCTTGAGGGATAAGGAAGCGTAAGCACTGTTCGTGCGGCAAGGAGAGGGAATGGTTGGAGCCTTCTGGGTCACCACGTGAGCAAGTCAGAAGAGGTGATGGAGTAACTGCCGGGGGAGCCCTGTGATGATGCAGCTCCCAGGGAAGAGAACAGCAGTGGTGGAGGGCTTGCCACTAGTGTTTTCTCACAAGTGGGTAGACAACCATCTGCAATTTTAGCAGTAAGTTCTAGCAAAATTTCTTCAGGA